TCATTGCCGCCCAACAGGTCGCTCACTTGTATGGCGCGCGCTGCAGGGAGGGAGTGAGGGAGTGAGTGGGTAAGGGAGGGATCATCCCTTGGATGGCACGCGCTGCACGGACACAGTGGGTGGGTGGAGGTGTGAATCAGTGTGCGAGAGTGAAGGAGATAGTGAGTGAGTGAGGCCGACAGACAGAGGCACGAATACCCACTCCCCTTCAGACCACCCACTCCCCGTCAGGCCACCCTCTCCAGTCCAGAGCACCCCCCTACCTTCGAATCCGCGCGTGCGGAGGATGAAGGGCGTGTTGGCGCCCTTCCCCGCGCCGGGCGCGCCGTTGAGCCACACGATCTCCTTGGGCGGCGACAGTTTCTCCTCGCCGCCCGCCGCTATCACCCCCTGCCACGCCTCCTCGAACGCGCGCCGCGACTCCATCGGAATCTGCGCGCGGAAAAACGGGGGAGGAGAGGGAGTAGAGAAATGGGGAGGCGGGCAGGAGGGGAAGAGGGCGAGGAAAGGGATTGGGGAAGGGGGAATCAACGGAAAAGGGTATTCATGAGACGCTTGAGAACCCCTTCCTGATATCCGCTATCACCCACGCACCAGGAATATTCACCTCACCTCCCCAGCCTCACCTCCCCAGCCTCACCTCCCCGCCTCACCTCCCCAGCCTCACCTCCCCAGCCTCACCTCCCCAGCCTCACCTCCCCAGCCTCACCTCCCCAGCCTCACCTCCCCAGCCTAACCTCCCCAGCCTCACCTCCCCAGCCTCACCTCCCCGCCTCACCTCCCCAGCCTCACCTCGAGAGCCTCCACATCGCCCTCCTTCAGCCTCTCGTCCAGCGACCGCTGCGACGGATGCCCAATGTCCATCGCCAGACGGTCCATCTGCACCGTCGGATTGCCCGAATCTACCGTCGGATGGCCCATCTCTCCTTCAGCCTCTCGTCCAACGTCCACCGCCGCTTCGCTCGCCCCCAGCGACGCCGACGAAGGGTTGGAACCGGCGCGTTGCTCGCCGATACTGTCGCTGTGGCTACTACGATGGATCTCGCCGCGATTTTCGCCGTCATTATCGCCGTGAAATACGGTCGTCGCGCCGACCTCTTCCACTGCCGATTCGCCGCCAGCCTGCTCAGAGATCGGATCTGCCGATGTCGCTAGCTGCGCGTCTGCTGATTTCGCACGCTGCGCGATCTCAGATCCCGCCTGTTGATGGAGCTGTGCGACGCGTGCGATGCCTTGGGCGAAATGCATGCGACTAACTGCGACGGGGTCGTGTGAGAGAGCAATGGGTCCTCTGCATCGCAGATTTGATCCTGGTTGGCATAAATGACCACCGTGTCCGAGCTTGGGACGCTGTGGTTTACCGAGAGCATCAGACGACGAAACGCGGGTTGCAACGGCGGAAGTGTGTAGATGACGAGCGGTTTCAATCGGTAACGAGTCAGAATGGCCCTGAGGTAAGAAAGTAAGGGGTTCAGCGAGGCGAAAAGCAGGAAGAGCGAGACGCGAGCCCGTGAGAGATGCTAGCCTCCGTCGACTGACGGACAGCGCGGCGTGAGGCATTCTGACGGATCCCTAACGAACCTCCGTTAAGGAAAGCGGGAAAAAAACGGCTTCCAGTGGGCTTCACTGATCAGTCCAAACACGCACCACAAACTAACAGAGCTCCGACAGTCTGTCTTCGACCTGAGTTTCACGACCGCATCACTACTCATGGAAAGTGGAAAAACATAAGGCTAGCCAGAGGAAAGCTAGCCAACACTCTACTCTACAACTGTGGTAGTAGAGAGTGTTGAGCAGAGGGGGAAGGCGGAAACCTAGGCAATGTCGTGACAAATACTCCTATATGCTGGGAGGTAGGAGATCCCAAGGTGTACGGTTGCACAGATTTTTGCTCACTGAGCTCTTGAAAATGTCAGGAGACCTCACACTTTCCGTGCAACATGAGCGTCAAAATTCCCGTATTTTAGCTAATCAAATGAGTCACACCGAGTATTGCAACGAAACTATATCTTTGAGGTGGTCTTCAGTGCTCGAATGTGGATTTTAGCTACGAAGAATCGGGAATTCAAGTCTCACCTGACTTGACAGCCAGGATTCGTAAGGGGCCACATAATTGGTCAAGGGCGAGCAGTAGCATGCTTGTGATTGGGCCTTCAGATGGCGCAACACTGGAAATGAACCAACCACGTAACAATGAAGTACTTGCCATAAATATCCTCGATTTCAATCTCGCGAAACCCCCTCATCGAATCACATGCCTTGTTTGCTCTGCAAAGGCAGGTTGGGTTTGGTGAATTTCTAAATACTGTACTGAATCAAAGCTCCACGCCTCCAGGTCAGACGTGCCAAGTTCGCCCTTCCAACGATGAGTTCGCCATCTCGCCAACAGCCCTCAAATTCCGCCGTCCGGAGCCAGCCCGTTGGGGCAGCAGCCCCGCCTTCTGAGGCTGCGCTCCGCAAAACTCCCGACTCTGCGCCATCTCAGTGGTGTGTCAGGCTTTTTGGGGGAGCGCATTGACAAGCCCGCGGATATTCAAGCATTTCCTTGCCGGAACCGCTAGCCTCGACGTTCGTGACGACACTCACGATGTCGCAACAGTTTATCGTCAGAGAGAAAGAACTGCTTGGTACACACAAGCGAAACAGCCCTTACGTCGCCAGAGCCTATTCGCTTGTCGCACCCGCTTTTCGTCAGTTAGCCGTTTGTTGGAAATCATACGCGCTCGCGGAAATTCGCGGGCGAATCTTGTCGGCGGGCCTTCCCCCTCCGCCGCTTGGGCCTCCTTGGGATTGGTTGGGACAACTCTGGGGGTGAGCTGAACGATTTCCCTGATGAGCCAGCAGAAACTGGGAGCAGCCAGACACACAGCAGAATACACCCTGTTTCGCGCTAGCAGAGCATCTGGTTGCAGAACATGCACAGGTTGTAGAACGTCACCACGTTTGAAATGGTCTTATCACCGACGGTACAAGCACATTCACAAGAAAGCGGTTAGCTAGGATGCTGCATGGTAAAGAACATTAACCAAGCGTTTCAAAGCGGTTGAAAAGGGTATACAGCGATAAAGAAAAATTTTGCCCCCAGTACCACTCCGTCAGCTGGTGCGGCTTTGCCCGCAGGTTTCAGCCATACGGTTTATGGCACCTGACCGCACTGTAGCAGCGAATCGCGCAAGGTGAGAGGGTCGAGAAACAGGGTGTACTACCACTTTGCAACCATCTCAACCGTGCGCAACATAGCCAACTATTGTCCGGACTCCCGAACCCATTTGCAGACGAATCCCAAACTGGTGATCTCGCCACCACCACTCCCCATCACTTTCTGCTCTATCTCATTTTCCAGCTCCTATCCTCTCCACTTGCCCTACTCGCCTTGCTCTCCACTCACTCTCACCTCTAACCGCGTTTTCTTCTTGCTCGCGCGAGTAGTTCTCGTCGCCAGTCACGTTCTCAATGGCGATGATTTTTGTATTCCTCGCGAGAATCTGTTCTCTCGTGGACGGCTTTCTCTAGTGTAGCGTTTCCGGCGGGGTTTCGTCTTCTCCGTGCGAGACGGCGATGAAGCATTAGGGCGTATCCAGGTTCGGGTCATGAGCACTGTTCGGGTCATGCGGAATTTGCGCATGACCCGAAGTGGGCTGCCGAGCCGCGCGCGGCCCCGGCTTTGGGTCAATGTGTAGGTGTTGTGCGACTGACGTGCACGACCCACCCACAGCCAATCACCTGGTTGCACGATTGTGGTGTTACTGCCAACTTTTTGTCGATCGGCAGTCGAGTGTCACACGTGGGTAATTTCCCACGCCTGACACCTCTGCAACCAACCACTCGGCAAATTGACCCCGAGTGTGTCTAAAATTTCTCGCGTCGCGCTCCCAACATTTGGGAATTTGCTCCGGGAATTTTGGGGGTTGTGTTTTCTCAGTGAGTGTCACGTGGTTTTGCGTGGGTCTCGCTAATGACCTTTCGAAATGTTCGGGCATCCCTCCATTGGATGCGACTGTTGTTGTGAGCTGGATTTTGGCGCGAACGGCAATATGGGGGTCGCATGACCCAAACATGCGTTCTATGTTGTTTGGGTCATCCGCAAATCGCGCATGCCCGGAACAGTGCTCATGACCCGAACCTGGATACGCCCTTAATGTCCGAATAGTTCGTCCGACAAGGTTAGTCTTCCAATGCGGTCTTCCGAATGATTGTTTTTCGCCGCGAGGTTTCATTGTCGATCAGATTCCACGTTTCGCTGTCGCACATTTCAGATGATCCTTTCTCGATTTGCACTTGTTGTTCCCGGTTCGCCCTCGCCAGATCCTCCCGTCGCGGCGACGCGTTTTTTCGTTCCTACGAACACCGTTCCTTGCTTTGTCCATCCTCCGGCCTCTGGTTGCGCGCGTCCCAACGATTTCCGCAAGTGATTCGGTACGACTCACGATTATTGAGACGTTTTTACGACTGCCTTCCCTATTGCTCCTCTGAGTCTCCACAACCGCTTTTCTCGTCCCCTACGACTCGTCGATTGTGCTGCGTTGCTGCGTCGTTTTTGCTGCCCGATATCCCTAAACCGTCTCTTTCCCGTTATTGCTGGGTTCAGATGCGACTGGATACGCGATCGAAATCGTCCACGCGCCGTCGCACGACGAAATCGTCGTCCGCGCGCCATCGCATGGCGAAATCGTCGTCCGCGCGTCGTCGCATGGTGAAATCGTCGTCCGCGCGTCGTCGCATGGCGAAATGGTCTCAGCAGCTGCGGCCGCAGCAGCAGCTCTCTCGGTGCTTTTTCAACCGCCAGCTAAGTGCGTTCTCCTCCCTCCACTCTGTTGCTTTCATGTCGTGCTTCCATCATACGTCACGCTCCATTTTCCACTGCTCTCTGTCACACCCATCAGACCTCCCTCCCCCAAGGTAGCAGGCATTTTGTTTTGTTGGTACAGCCTCAGGTCTTCTTTTTCTTTTGGTTCAGCTGGTACGAGGTCTCTTGGGTGTGCCACTGCAGCAGTCCATTCATGCACGCATCATTATTGCACTCGCTGCACTCTTTGCTCTCACTTCACTCCTCTCGGCTTCACTCCTTCACTCCCCCGTTTCCTTCTCCCCTTCCTCCCTTCCTCTCTCTGTCCCGATCTGCCCCCTTCTGGTCCCAGCAGGTCGCTCACACGGGAGTGGCAGTGGCGGGGGACATGGAGTGCACAGGCAGCAGCTGCTCTCCACCCAACTCACCCACAGCTAAGTACCCCGCCCTTCCTCTCTTCTCCCAACCCTCGCACTGTGTTGCTTTGCTTGCCATGCTTGCACCATGCATTTCACTCCACTTTTAACTGCGCTTTGTCACGCCCATTAGACCTCCTCCCCCCAAGGTAGCAGGTATCTTTTCTTGGTACAGCCTCAGGTATTTGTTTTTGTTTGGTTCAGCTGGTACGAGGTCTCTTGGGTGTGTCACTGCAGCAGTCCATTCATGCACGCATCATGCTTACGCTAGCTGCACTTTTCACTTTCACTTGTCTTGGCTTTTTTCCTCACTGCTCTCCCCACTCCTCCGCGCCCCCTTCACTTCCTCCCTTTTCTCCCCCCCCCTCCTCCCTTCCTCTCTCTGTCCTTACCTGCCCCCTCTCGTCCCAGCAGGTCGCTCACACGGGAGTGGCAGTGGCGGGGGACATGGAGTGCACAGGCAGCAGCTGCTCTCCACCCAACCCACCAGCAGCTAAGTTCCTGCCCTGCCTCTCTACTCCCATTCTCTCTTGTGTTCTTTGCTGCATCTCCTGTTTCTTCTCGCTTCAAACGCAAGCCTCTGGTTCAGCCAAAGCTTCAAGCCACAGACCCGTTTTTTCTAAGGTAGATCCCCCCTGGTACAGCAGGTATACTCTCAGGTTAGGATAGGTCTTCCTAGGTATATTTCCCCCTTGGGTCCGTGGCTTGTAACTGAGGTTGCGCCAGTGGCCCCCTCCCCTCTGCTTCTTCTGTTCGCGCATCTCCTCCTTCACCCCCCCTCGCCTCTCCTCCAGTCACTCACTATTTCTCTGTGGGCCATTGCAGGTGGAGGGGAGGGGCGTGGGGGTCAACACCGACGCTCCCTCATGCCCCTCCCCTGTGGCCGTGCAGGTGGCAGTGGTGGGAGGGGAGGGGGGCAGCACTCCACTCGGCTGGGATGGGATGGGAGAGTATCGGGATGGGTTGTCTGAACCGAGGTGAGCCACTTTTCCCCTCCCTGCTACAGATGCCTCATTTCTCTCTCTTCAATTCTGCATTCTCGTTTTTCTTCACTCTAGTGTTCTTCGGTTTACTTGAGTGTTTCCTTCATGCCAACTTACTTGTTCCTCCTGCCCCTCCTCTCCCGTCCCTCCCCACCCTCCCACCCCCCCCCCCCCCCTCCACTTTCTGCCCGCCACCAGGTCACGTGGCATCAAGCCAAGAGTGCAGCAGAGGAAGCAGAGTAGCAGACCGGCAGCAGCAGTTGCAGCAGCAGAAGCCGAGGCGGCAGCAGCAGTAGCAGCGGTGGGGTTGGGGGTTCAGAGGGCAGGCTAGGCTAGCTGAAGCTGTGGGGAGGTGTGGTATCAGGTATGGTACGGTAACAGGTGAGGTAAGGTATCAGGTGAGGTATGGTAGTCTGATTCTCTCCCCTCTCTCTTCCCCCTCCCCCCCTTGTCTTTTTTGCAGCCTGAGAGTGGGAGCACTGGAGCAAGGACAGGAGAGTCAAGTCCACCCTCTTACTCACCTCCTTCTCTCTCCCTTTTCCCTTCCCTCCCAGCAGCACCCTGCCTGGACCACAGTGGACTCCCCTCCTTCCGTTCATCCCCCCCTCCCTTCCCGACCCCCTTCCCAGCAGCCCAAGGCATCATGGCGCTCTGCATGGCTCTGGTAGGTAGAGGTAAGGAGGCATGGGGGTGAAGTGTGGGGTGGGTGGGTGGGTGGGAAGCATGAGAGTGAGTGGGCAGTTCACTGCCTTAGGGGCAGCACCTTCTGAGGTTGTGCGTTGTGGGCCGGGTGTGGTGGGTGGAATCTGTGCGGCACGGCACTCGGTGCTCAAGTAACCAATCTGACGTGCAAGGCCTAATGGACACGGTCAGAGCCGACCGGCCGGCGGCTCTGGTTCGCGTCAGCTCTGGCTACGTCAGGGGTGGGATTTGAGTCTTGGGCTGGAAGCAATTTTCCACTACCACACCTCGCCCCACAAGGCACCGCCTCTGGGGGTGCTGTTTCCTTGAGGAAGTGAGCTCTCTGCTGCTCCTACTGCTGGTAGGTGAGAGTGGGGATGGGCTGGGTGGGTGAGTGAGAGAGAAGGGGCCTTAAACCCCTTGGGTGGTGTGTTGGTGGCAATGGTGGGAGCCTGAATCCCCCAGGGTAAGTGGAGTGAGTGGGCGAGGACAAAAGGGGTGCTGAAACGAAAGCCCAGGGTGAGTTGAGTGAGGGGCAATGGTGTGGGCCTGAATCCTTGGGAGAGTGGGCTTTCTGCTGCTCCTACTGCCGGCAGGTGAAGGGGGGGATGGGCTGGGTGGGTGAGTGAGCTTGAATGGGGCTGAAACACCCCTTGGGGGATGAAACCCCGTGGCTGGGTGAGTGAGAGGGAGGGGAACTGAAACCCCTTAGGTGGGTGAGTAAGGGGGAAGGGAGCTGAAACCCATTTGGGTGGGTGACTGAGAGTGAAGGGGGCTGAAATCCCTTGGGTGGGGGACTGAGAGGGAATGGGTCTAAAATCCCTCGGGTTTGTGAGTGAGTGGGAATCGGGCTGAAACCCTTCGCATGTGAATGATAGGGTAGGGTGGTGAAACCCCGTGTGTGGGTCGAGGAGAGAATGGGGCTGAGACTCTTTGGGTGAGTTGAGTCGAATGTGAGCGTGAGTTAGGGAGTGTGTGTGAGTATGAGTGTATGTGAGTCTGTGTGTTTGTGGGTGGGTGGGTGGGTGTGGGTGTAATATAAAGTGTTGTGTGTATGTGAGTGAGTGAGTGTATGTGTGTATGAATGTGTATGCGTGTGCATGTATGTGTGTTGGTGTGAATGAGTGTGACGAATTGACTGATTGAGGACGTGAGTGTAAGTGAATGCGAGTTAGTATGAGTGAGTGACAGTGAGCGATTGTGACTCATTGCGAGTGGAAATGTGTGAGTGAGTGAGGAAGAGTGAGTGTGGGTGAGTGACTGAGTGTGAGTGCGAGTGAGTACAAGTGGGTGAATGTGAGTATGATGTAGAGTGAGTTTGTGTGTATGCCAGTGTTGGTGACTCTATGTGTGTCGAAGTGTGTGTGAATGTGCATTTGGCAGGTGAAAATGACATTGACATGCTCCAGATGGTTGGCTTGGGTGTGGCAATGGCAAATGCTGGCCCTTCAGTCAAGGCAGTGGCGACCATGTGTCGACCATGTGGCAGTGGCCGACCATGTGTCGAGCTCAAACGACCTTGATGGCTTGGCTGGCAGCTGTAGTGGACAGACTTGCCCTCACTGCTGGACCTGGGTGCTGGGACTAGGGTGTGAAGGCGAGCAGAACTCCTTTGGGTGGAGTATTCAGTCCGTGCACTGGATGCAGTCGGACCCGAATTCTGGGAGGGCCTAATATTGCAGCGACTTCTGCGCAGTTTCAGCCCATTTTGAACGTTTTTGTAGGCTAGTGCTTGATTAGCGTTAATATGTTGAGATTCCTATTAAATATATTTACACGCAAACTGGGTTTCTTCCATACCCATAGTTGCACCATGTCGACTGGCTCCTCCAATATTGTAAATAGCTGACAGCCTATATTGATATTAATAAGCTTGTCATAGGGATTGGTTGTGGTTTTTTGGAGCTACTTATCGTCAAGTTTCCATGTATAGTACACTTGCAGGCTGGGCGAAACGCCAACTCTGGATTCAGGTGCTTCTGCGATGATTCGTAGAAATACATGCGGATACTTCTCAAGGAACTGCACTGTTTGAGGAAGCACTTGACAAGCCCATTCAAACAGAATTGTGCATGCACTCGCTCACGTTTTCCAGCAAAATCTCGCTCTAAACCAATCACAGTCTCGGAATCCACGCTGGAAGGAGGAAATGTTACCACAAGGGCTCCACGCGCTGGACAAGGCGCACCGCCGCTGGGTCCATAAATTTGGCGAGATCGCGCGCATTGGCGAAAATTGCGTTTCTCTTAAAAGAATTATCCCGAATTGCTCTGACCTTGCCACGTGGGCGTTTTTCTTAACTGGATGGACCGCGTTTTTCCCCGGCCCCCCAAACCGATTTTCCCGCCCTTCCCCTCCGAAATTCGGGCAGCCGTGTGTACTCCCATGAAATCACAAACAGTCACGAATTCAAAATACTAGGCGTTTTGATTCTTCAATGTTGACTGACGTGCACGTTCGGTTGTGCCATCAGCCGTTGTAGTACCTTCACTATATTTCTCATTTACGTATAAGATATAACCAGTAATCAAATTCTGATATATTCTGAAATTACTAATACATTGAGCCCAACGAATAACTAGATTATTATTTCTATAATATACTGGCCAGAAATATGGATTTTGATAAATTTATGCCACCTAAGTAACATCCTTTTTAGAATAATAATAATAGGAGGGTAATATTTCTTTCTAAATGATATAGAGCAGTAAATTCAAACAAAATATATACCTGATTCAAAAAAAGTTTAATTTCATCTGATTTGGAGTGAATATTACAATGACTGAATAAAACTTAGCTCAAATTGATTTTTATGCCTCCCAAGATCTGCTTTACGTATAGATATCAACAGACATTAAAAACTAAAGGTCATTTGTCATGTGTTTTTTTGCGCCCCTATCTAATGGCATGGGCTCATCCAAAAAAAAAAAAAAAACATGATACAATCAACGTGCATAAGAGCCTCTAGAGATTAAGAAGCAACCTCCAAAATTATCAGGAGTCTATTGTGAAAGCTGATGTGGCATGCCACAATACAGGGAGGATTTGGCATGATGTCGGGAGCAGGTATTCGTCACTGATTGTGATTCCACATAAATCCAGCGGGTGCCCGAATTTCGGAGGGGAAGGGCGGGAAAAACGGGTTGGGGGGGCGGGGGGAAAGGCGGTCCGTTCAATTAAGAAAAACGCCCACGTGGCAAAGTTGGAGCAATTCGGGTTGATTCAATGAAGATAAACGTGACTTTCGCCGATGCGCGCGATCTCGCCCATAAATTTACAAGATACAACGCGATGCGGATTTGGGATACTGACGAATCCTGCCCTGATGTCATGCTGCCCTCGTGTATGATCTCGAGAAGAGATAGCCAAGTGAGGTATTCGGGTGAGTAGACCAATCTGGATATACTGTATTCGTAAAAATGAAGGTCGATGTCTTCGTAGTCCTGAGGTGTAGTCCTGAGGTCATTTACTTTTGGGAAATCGTGAAAGTATAATGGGCCGCCTACCCAAGAATAGCCCCTCCTACGAGCCGCCTCCATGCGCGATACGTCCCCTTCCGCAACCTGTCCTGGCGGATATATTCGCGGCACGTGGGCTCCACGCCACCACCACCAGTTTCGCAGGGCTGCTGCGCGCCTCTCCGCTCCGCTCGCCTCGCCGTTCATGCCTCTCATCCGCCAGTCCTTGTTTGCCAGAAGAAAGCTTTCATGATAAGCGACGGTGGAAACAGAGCATGCTGCAGGTTCGGACCAGGGCTGTCGATTGGTTTGGAGCCAGAACTTGAGAGGCTGAGGTGCCCCAAAAGTTGCCCTGAAATTTACGGGCTGAGAGCAAACCTGGCACTTGAAATCGGGGCTACCAAGTTTTTTGCACTTTCGCTAAGGAAAACCTACATCTATTCGGGTCCGTTATCCTAGGCAAACTACTAAGAGCCAGCTAGGCAATAGGCTGAGGTACGAACCATGTCGATGGATTTGACGGGGATGGGAAAAGGAAGTAGTGGAGTAGCTGGGAGAGGCGGGGGGACTGGTGAGGGAATGGGAGGGAGGGAGGTATTAGTGTGGGACGATAAGGGCTAGCCGGGGGATCGGCACTTGAAATCCGAGTTAGGCCCACAACCAGCACTTTGCGGGGACGGGCTGCCCTCAAACCCAACCCTTAAACTTCGGAAGCTGGGCCGAACCCAGCCCTTAATGTTCAGGGCATTAAGGGCATTTGCCCTTGAATCGTCAGCCCTGGGTCGGACTCGACGCACCTCCGCACATCCGGAATCAAGGGAAGGAAATGAATTGTCGCACACGAAAAAGGGGAGATGGAAATTCCAGACGGAGTGACATGTGACAACCACAACAAAGCGCGTAGCGTACCGTACTTTGGCGAAGTGCTGGCTGCCCAGCCCTGGAAAAACAGCATAACCCGGATTCGGTTGTACGGGGTGGGATGCGATATCGGCAACAGTGAGCGAAATCCACCCATCCCATCCTAGAATTCCTGTCCGCTAGTGCTGCAACTCTTCTGTTCCTTGGCTCGTCTCTGCGTCGCATCTCGGTCTCAGCTTTCTGCGCAAGCTTGAGGTGTCATCTGGCAGGCCGTGCCCCATTTCTGGTTTTTGATTCACCTTGACTGCCCCCGCTACCACACGCCACCGCACGATGCTCCGCGCACTCGCAGCAGCACAGCAGCGAGAATGGGCGCGCGGGACAGGAGGAATGCAAAGGCCGCCATTTGCCACGCTAAGGCTCCAAAAACAGCCGCTAATATGGTTCGTACGCACACGTAGTGTGCTTGTTGCGTTAGTAGACCGCACTAGACTCCCTCACACTTGGCGTTGGTAAACGCACTTCTCCTTCTCGCCTTTCCGGCCACCATCGTCGCAATCTCTAAGTGTCACTTCGTCGTCGCGGTGGCACCGCCGCATGATTTCGAATCCCGTCGACTCGCTGCGCTTGATCGCAGCACACTAACGAATAACGAATCCCCACCGTGCCGCGTCGCACTCCGGATCTTGATATCGGACCGTCACGGTGCCGCGCCGCCCCTGCCATGTTGCTGATCGCAGCACACTAACGAATCTCCACCGCGCGCGTCGCACTCGGATCCTTACATCGATTCGTCACGTTGCCGCACCGGCCCTGCCATGTTGCTGACCCTATCGGCGTCGTCCATTCCGTCGGATTCCCTCGCTTTGCGCTCCACAACGCGACGCCCCTACTCGCTGCCGTTTCGCGCCCTTTCGCGCGCCGCAGCCCCCGGCAAGGAGGGGGCTTTCGCCGCGTTCGCCCCCCGCACATGCGTCATGACCGCCGCTGCGCCCATCGCGGACGATCTGCGCGCGCTGGACAGTGGCGCTCACCTTCCCCCGCAGGACTCCGCGGGGAAGAGCTCCGCGGACTTGGAGCGCAGGGATGATGTCGCGCAACAATCTCGCGGGGAATGCTCGCACGCGGAGAAGCGGAAGCTGAACGCCAGCGCCGATGCCGACGAATGCCGCACTGGCGGCGATGCGGCGGCGGCGCCGCCCGAGGGAACGGAGAGCAAAGCCGACTCGACGAGATCCGCGGAACCCGCCGCGAAGAGACCCCGCGGGAGCGCCGATCCCGGCGAGAAACCGCCACTGGCGCAGCTGGCGGAGACGATCAACCGCGGCAGTGGCGGCGGCATCTCGCCGCGCCCTGCTCCCGCCTCACCGCCCGCCGCCGCGCCTCACCTTGCGCCTGCGGTTGCTGCTCCGCACCACTCCTCTGAGCTTCCGCCCCGCCTCCCCTGGGCGTCGCCGCCCGTTGACTCGACGGTCAACGCGACCGCCGGCTGTCCCGCTGCTGACGTGGATGACAAGTCGGGGGAGAGCGGCGGCGCGGGGTTGGAGGAAGAGGATGAGGCGGAGGGGGATGAGGGCGAGGGGGAAGGCGAGGAGGCGGTTGGCGGGGTGACCGCCGCGGATGGCGGCGCGTGCGGCAAGAAGAAACGGTACCGCTACAAGCGGCTGTCTAAAGCGGGTTACATTCCGGACGACGGGCAGCACTGGCACAAATACGGGCAGAAGAATCTCGTGGATGCCGGATACTGCAGGTGAGCGCGCGGGGGCGGGATATGTGGGATGTGTAGTTGAGTAAGCGGAGAGAGAATGTGTGTGTGAGTGGGATTTGTCGCTATCAGGGATCTATAGAGTTCGGAAAGGCGGCAAAGCGATGTGCTCCATCACGACTCACCACGCTGCACTGCACACACCCATTCCCTGCAGCCTCTCACGTCTCTCACCCTCTGCTTCCCGTCTCCCTCCCCGCTCACAGGGCGTACTACCGGTGCGCGCGGCGGAGCGCGGGGTGCGCGGCCAAGAAGACGATCGACTTCCCCATTCGCTGGGGGCTGGACATGCGCGTCACGTACAGCGGCTCGCACACGCACGGCCTGCCGCCCAGGCTGCAGCGCGAGGTCTTCACATACGCCACCACGCCCGCCCAGCTGCCGCCCAACATCTCCGTGCCGCCCAACGTGCTCGCTGCTGCTGCGGCTGCCACTGCTGCTACAGCCGGGGCTGCTACAGCCGGGGCTGCTACAGCCGGCGGTGCTACAACCGGCGCTGCTAGCTCCTCTGCTGCGTCTGCGGAATCCAATCCCGCCAATGCCGGCCCGTCCCCCATCTCCCCTCCGCTCACTGCTTCCCCCGCCCCACCCGCCCCTGCTCCTGCTGCTCCTGTTGCTTCTGCTCCTGCTGCCGCTACTCACCCTGCTGCCTCTGCCCCTCCTGCTCTCAACTCACCTGTTGTGCGCGGGGCTGGTAACCAGGTAACTGGTAACACCGCGCACGCATGCAGCCCCGGTCACCACGTGCAGACACGGCCCACCCAGACGCCTCCTCGCTTCCTCTCTCCACAGCAACCCCAGCAGCAACCCCAGCAGCAGCAGCAGCAGCAGCAGCAGCAGCAGCAGCAGCAGCAGCAGCAGCAGCAGTACCAACCGCAGCAGTATCAGCAGCAGCAGCAGCAAGCAGCACAGGGCTACCGCTTCAGCCCCACAACGCAACAACCCATGCCACCCAGTCCGGGCCTGGCCTCCCCTGTTCCCTCCGCGTCCTCCCTCTTATCCTCCTCCCCCTCCCCCTCCCTCTTGACTCTTCCGCCTGCCCACCGCCCCTCTCCCGGCGGAGCCCCCGCCGCGCCTGGCGGCCCCCTTCAGCAGCAGCAGCAATGGCAGCCGGAGCAACAGAGATTGGAGCAGCAGCACCACCAACAACAGCAACAACCGCAATGGCAGCAGCAACACCAGCAACAGCACACCGCTTCACCTGCACAACCCGCCCAATTGAACCCTCCAGGAAACTTCATGCTGCCGCCACCCGTCTTTGCAGCCAGCAGCCGTGGAAGCAACGCGGAGCCTTCCCAGCCCGTGGCTGCATCAACCTTCCGCCCCTTGACCGCCCCGTCCTCCTCCTTCCACCGCTACCCTCCCGCTCCTCCCGCTTCCGCTCCTCCCGCTGCTGCCATCCAATCTGCTGCTCCTTCCGCTGCTCCGTCTGCTGCTCCTGGCGCTGCTGCTGCTGCACCTGCTGCACCTGCTGCACCTGCTGCACCTATTGATTCCCAGCGCCCACTCATGCCGCCCCCGCACGCCGTCACCCCGCCCCAATACATGCAGATGCCGCCCCAAAGCATGCCAATGCCGCCCCAAAACACGCCAATGCCGCCCCAAAACACGCCAATGCCGCCCCAAAACACGCCGATGCCGCCCCAAAACACGCCAATGCCGCCCCAAAACACGCCAAAACCGACTCAAAACACGCCAATGCCGCCCCAAAACACGCCAATGCCGCCCCAAAACATGACCATGAACATGCCCATGCCATCTCAGGCATCAGCCGTCGCTCCCAGCTGCACCTGTCCCATCCACCACCACCACCCCCAGCAACCCCAGCAGCACCATCACTACCCCCACAATCACCACCACCCCCAGCAGCAGCAGCACCCCCACCCCAATCCTCCCCCCTCCGCCTTCGCCCCCCCTCATGCGCCCGCCGGCCCCCCTGCTTCAGTGCTCGCGCCTTACGCCGGCGCTGCGGGGTGCACTGGCAAATCGCAGATAGCAGTGCACTACCAGCCAGACACGCTGACTCAGCAAGGAGTGGTGGTGAGTCAGCAAGGGGTGGTGATGAGTCAGCAAGGGGTGGTGAGTCAGCAAGCTTCAGCAGGACAGCAGTCCCTCGCACCTCCCTCTCCACTTCTCCGCCTGCCCTCCTCACTGCAAGCACCAACCCACACTCACACAAGCAGCCCCGCCTGCTCCTTCTCCACCCCTCCATACCCCTCCTCCTCCACCTCCTCCACCCACACTCTCTCCCTCTCCCCCCCGTGCGCCCCCCCCCCTCACCTCCCCCTCTGTGCTGTCATCTCCCCCTCCCCCGTTCAGTCCAAACGCCCGCCCATGCTGCAGGCCTCCCCGCAGCTACAGCCGTCCCAGCTACAGCCGTCGCCGTCCCCGCTACAACCGTCACCGCGACAATCGCCAGCGCTACAGCCGGGGCTGCTGCAGCTACAGCCGTCAGCTTCGCCAGTGCAGCAATTCACGCCTTCCCCTCGCCTGCAGCAGGGCGCACAGCCCCAGCCACAGCCACAGCCACAGCCACAGCCACAGACGTGGGCTGCTGTGCCGCCTGCAGGGGTAACTTGCTCGCCTGCGCAACCTTGCACGCTGCACCCGCCTTCTGTGTCACCTGCTGCTCCGTGCCTGCAACACACTGCTGCGCCCTGCTGCCCACATGCCTCATTGCCCTGCCAGCAGCAGCAGCAGCAGCAACAGTGGCAGTACCGACAACAACAGCAACAGCAACAGCAGCAGCAGCAGCAGCAGCCGCAGCAGCAACAGCAGCAGCAATGGCAGCAGCAGCAGCAGCAACAGCAGTGGCAGCAACAGCAGCAGCAACAGCAGTCGCAGCAACAGCAGCAACAGCAGCAGCAACAGCAGTGTCAGCAGCAGCAGCAGCTGCAGCCGCAGCAGCAACAGCAGTGGCAGCAGTGGCAGCAGCAACAACAGCAGCAACAGTGGCAGCAACAGCAGCAGCAGCAGCAACAGCAGCAGCAGCAGCAGCAGCAGCAGCAGCAACAGCAGTGTCAGCAACAGCATGTGTGTTCGCATGCTGTTGCTGCTGCTACTGCTCCTGCCCCTCCCGTTCTCTCCACATTCCATACAACAACCATGGTAACTGCCTCGCAGGCGGTTACCAGATCGCACAGCACCCGAGCAGCAACTACCCCCCACGCGCACCACTTCTCTACTCTCAGTGCTGCTGGTGGGGCCAGTCAAGAGGGGACAGGAGCACAAGCAGCGGCGCAAGCGGCCCCTCAGGCTCAGCAGGGGGAGGGAATGATGCTGCTGGGGAAGTTCATTCCATCGCCCTCCCCGTCCCCGTCCCCGTCCCCGTCCCCGTCCCCTTCCCCTGGTGACTCGCCGCGCAGACGCCTGAAAAGAGAGGAACCGTTTCCGGTGTGTCGGGATGAGCAGCAGGGGCGCGTGGCGAGGGCGAGGGGGGGAGGTGCGAGGGGGAGTGGAGGCGTGGTGCAGCGGCTGACAGCGCAGTTTGATGCTCAGTGTGAGGCACGGGGGGCTGCTCATGGTGCTGCTGGTGCTCATGGTGCTCATGGTGCTGATGGTGCTGCTGGTGCTGGTGCTGCCGATAGTGCTGCAGGTCCCATACAGCTTGTTGCTGACTTGAGAGCATCAAGCCAGAAGGAGGTCAACCTGAACCTCTCTCTCTAGAAACCCAGTATATGCAGGCCCTCAGATTCACTTAAGGGTATCAGGGTCCCTCTGGCCCTAGACCCTGATCAACAGGGTCGCCTAGGAAAAAAGCCTGAAAGTTCAGTGTTACTTTAAAAAAAAGTCTGATGCATCAGTGTCACCTATAGAAAAAGGCTGATAGTAGTGAAGCTGATTTTTTTAACTTAAAAACTCTATGAAGGTCGCAAACAGCCTTCAATCTATCTATTGTAAACCAAAGCCTATCTTGCTTGCTAGCTAGCTATGCATTGCATCCAGCATGACTCTGGGTCAGGGTGAGTTCAGTAATCATCATCTGATGAGGCCTGCTTATCATCATCTTCTCTTCCCTTAGCCTGTCGTTGTGCCCACTCTTCCTCCTCTAGGGCCTCCTTTCCCGTGCTATCCCTGCCCTCTCCCTCTCTTTCGGGTGGTGCCGCCACATTGCCGAATGGGCAGCGCTTCTTGTAGCTGCGCCAGATCTGCACCACCTCATCGTAGTTGGGCTCGTACTCGAGTAGAGACATGGTGACGAGGTCTTCGAGGCGGGCGTCCTTCAAGCTCCCCCGCTGCCACGATTTGATAACGTTTTGGCGTGAGAAGCCGCGCTCACACTCCACTGTGCTCAGCGGCAGCACGGCGACAGCCACCCAGAGACGCACCAGATTGGGGTAGCCAGTCGCCCAGTCGCTTGTCTTCAGCATTGCTGTTAGGCCTGCGTGGAAGCTCCGCTCGTTCTTCGGGGCACCTGCGAGGATGGGGCAGAAGGCCCGCAGCTCCTTGATCGCACGCCGCTTGTCGACCCCTGCCACATAATGCGGAAGGGAGAGAGAGGGGGTTTTTGAAAGGCTGGCAAGTGCGTACACCATACGTTGATGAAATGCAATGACACAATAAGACGGACAGCAACAGTGCGAGAGCGGGAATACCTGGAATGATGTAGTCCGTGTCCTGTGCCCTGAACAGCCTCACGAGAGACTCGAGCCACTCGAGACACTGCTTGTGGCGCTCCGCTCTCCCCAGCTCCCACTCGTCAGGCATTAACAGCCGCACTCCCACCAGGGAGTCCAGGTCCTGGAACCGTGTGCTGAGGTTTTGCACGAGCGTCTCGGCGAAGGTGGTGCAGAGATCGACGCAGGCGTCGTGGGAGCCGAGGGTCGGGTAGTCTTCGCTCGGCTTCTCATGCAGCTCGAAGGTGTGTGTCGTGGGCCGCCCGTCCGAGTCGACTCCCTGCACCTTCACCTCGGGATTGCCCCCGTCAGGCCCGTGCTTCTTGATGAACGGGGAGAGGCGCGCGCTCACCCCGCCTCCAAAGTCGTCACCACAGTCGACGTAGCGGGACTCTAGGAATGAAATCGACCGGCGGATCTGCCCGTGGACACTTGCAATGTCCAGCTGTTAGGGGTCAACAGGGCGAACAGAGGATGGAGAGAAGGCCAAATCAGTGCAAAGCAGATTCTGCTTAAGCAGTACATCAAACAGTGACTCTCAAGCCGAAACAAGGCACACAATCCAGCAACGATAGTAACCAAGCTCACCTCACGCTGCTGGAATGCCCTGTTCAGCACATTGAGCTGCTCGAGGACGTCTGCAAAGAAGTATAGCAGAAAGTGAAACTTGTAGCTCGTGGCGAGCTCGTAGAGGGTGCTGTCCCACTCATACAGCATCACGATCAGCGCGGGGAAGACCTCTACCGCGCGCAGAATGGCGTCACCGCGGGAGAGCCAGCGGACGTCGTGGATCCCTTGTAGCTCCAGGTTTGTTTTCGTGAACACCTCCTGCAGGCCGATGAAGCGTTGATGCCACGGGCCAGAACGCCCCAAATGCTCTGCCACTTGGCGTAGCAGGGAGTCCACCATGCCGAACTCGGGGAGTTGTTCAGCGGCGTCCTTTGCTGCGAGGGCCTCCCTGCATGCACACCAGCACTAAAACCGGCTCAAGGAGGGGTTAGCAGGGGATGCAGCAGGGACTGTATGGAAGCAGTAAACAGAAGATGAAAACTGACCTGTGGGCGATGCAGTGGCTCGAAACAAGATGCGGGATGCGGAGGCGAAGTCGAGCGACAAGGCCGTTGTGTTTCCCCATCATCACACTCGCTTCGTCAGTGCTTATGCCGGATTTCCTCGCCAGTTCAATGCCTAGGGCCCGCAGGTGAGACAAGAGCACTGAGAGGAGAGAGGCTGCATCGCCCTTCTCCACGGTCAGCAGGGCAAGGAACTCAGTCACGGGACGATTTTCACGGATAAATGTCGCGAAAACAATCATATGCTTTCCCCGACACCTATCCGTGCTTTCGTCGCATGTGACGCCAATGTATGGGCTGCTGAGGATATGCTGCAGTTGCGTTGTGTGCAACCATGTGGCCATCGACTGTGTCAGCTGTCCGAAGCCGTAGCTGCAGCGCATGTCAAACAACACAACGTCAGATAATTCGGTTGATTTTCACAAACACGGTTGCAGTTAGATTAATTCAACACTCACGTAGTATAATAGGTTCCGTAGCCTTTTGCTGGGAACCCGGGCACATTGAGTCGCGCGAGGTAGCGCACAAGATTCACCCATAACTCTATGGGTGCATCTTGCTTGGTCACGAAGAGCAGGGAGTCGAGGAGCTTGACGACCCGCTCCTTCTCCGTGTTGCGAGCGAGATTGTCGCCGTTGATCCGTGGCTGCGTAGCGGCATCGTCGAGAAGCTTCTGCTGGTGTTTCAACGCCTCCTTGTGCTTGGTAGTTGCCGCATGCCGTTTGAACGCCTGCGTCTGAACGTCTGTGGCGCCCTTTCCGCCTCTCCCACACGGTCCAGCGTAGCGTGCGTGCACCGTACATATGCTGCACTTGAAAGCGGGGAAACCGTCAGTTTTTTTTAGCAGAATAAGCCAAGAAAACCGCTCGAGCCACTCGCTTTTGTACTTATACAGAGCCTCCGCGTAGGTTGCGTCTGGCCCAGCCGGTTTAGAAGGCCCAGGTGTTGAGGGCGACGCCTGCGTGCCTGCGATCGCGGGCGTCGACAGTTGGTCGGCTGGCGAAGCCGGTATTGCACCAGCGGGACCTCCCGTCTTGGGCCATGGCAGCGTTGACTGCGTGTACCTGGCGGCCTTCTTAGCCACTGGCACCGCCGCGATTTCTTCACCTGAAGGGTTGGAGCTGTCTTGCTCCAACACGGGCGCAGTAGGGGAGGGACACAAAGGCTCGTCGATGGGTTCAAATGGAACATCGATGGACGGCGCGACTGCAGGCGCCTTTCCATGGTTATCTACAGCCGCTAAGTTGGAGAATAGCAGATCCAGCCCGGTAACAGCCGCGGACAGATCAATTGGCGAACGACGAGCAGGTTCATCGCCGGGGTCATCAGGTCGTTCAATGGCGTCCGGGTGGTCCGCCATTGATTGCGCTGTGAACAAGCAACATCTAACGGGACTCCCTAGCTAGCTGAACGATGGAGGTTTGCCAGGAAGAGAGGACACACGGCTGACTGCCTCTTGGTACACCAGGCAGCAACGCGATGAAACCTTACCCTTGCTAGATGGAAGGAAAGCATGGAGCAGACTGGGGTGGGAGACTGGATGGCTGGCAGCACGGCTGGGCGGCGTGGATGCATCCGTGCTTGCCAGCATGACTTAGACAAAACGGGCCAGAGGACCACAGGTGCTTCACATGGGCCTGAATCCCTAGTTGCGCTGCCTGCCAGCATCGCTGTGCTGCAACCCTGTAATTGGCCAAATCAGGAAATGCTGTCAAAGTGGCCAATCATCGCACCACGCGCGCCAACAACGCATCCCTCTACGAGGCAAATTTGTCTGCTACTCACCGCCACGCCCTGCTGACACCGCGGGAATCTGATATTCCCTGTACAGCCGGGCAACTACACACGAACCGTGTAGGAATCGCTTTCAGGGTCGGATTCGTTACAACGTAGTGGAATAAGTGTCTCTAGAAAAAAATTGCTGAAAGTTCAGAGTCATGTGCTAGGTGAAGGCTGAAAAATCAGCCCCACAAAAAGATGAACACTGGAAAATCAGTGTAGGTTAAAAAAAAACCCTGGAAATCAGGAATTTCAGGGGAAAATTCCTGATATCGTAGGGCCTGAGTATATGTGATGTGTGTGATGTATCCTGATGCTATGCTCTGTCTTGGAACAAATTTAGTGAAGAGCAGCTTGTCAAATGTTGTAGCCTGTAGTGAGGTTTGTCTTAGGGGGTACAGAAGTTAGGGTTTGTTATATGTACCCCAACCAACATCAATGGAAGATCCATTCCTCATTCTGACATGGTATCAGCTAGGTTAGGATCCAGTGGGATCCCGTTCCTCCGTTCTCCGTTCGTACCTCCCGAGCCTGATCCTACCTCTCGTTCGTACCAGTTTCGTTGTTACCGCGCCTAGTACCGAGCCTAGCGCCATCTCCCCCGTCGCGTCACGCCCGTTCCCCCCCGTCGCGTCGCGCCCGTTCCCCCCGTCGCGTCGCGCCCGTTCCCCCCGTCGCGTCGCGCCCGTTCCCCCCCGTCGCGTCGCGCCCGTTCCCCCCGTCGCGTCGCGCCCGCCTGTTACCCCCCCCGTCCCGTCGCCCTGTCCCGTCGCGTCGCCCTGCCCTGTCCCGTCGCCCTGTCCCGTCGCGTCGCCCTACCCCGTCACGTCGCCCTGCCCTGTCCCGTCGCCCTGCTCCGTCGCGCCGCCCTGCCCCGTCGCGTCGCCCTGTCCCGTCGCGTCGCCCTGCCCCGTCGCGTCGCTCCCGCCCTTTCCCCCGTCGCGTCGCCCTCCCTAGGCCCTGGCCCGTCGCCCTCCCTAGGCCCTGGCCCGTCGCCCTCCCTAGGCCCTGGCCCGTCGCCCTCCCTAGGCCCTGGCCCGTCGCCTTCCCTAGGCCCTGGCCCGTCGCCCTCCCTAGGCTCTGGCCCGTCGCCCTACCCTAGGCCCTGGCCCGTTGCCCTACCCTACGTCTTGGCCCGTCGCCCTAGCCCGCTCTTCCGCTGCGACTGAGTCCTCTTCCCCCCCGGTTGTTACTCGCC